GGGATGCATGTTAATTGTGTTTTTCTTTTAAAACAAAAGATGTAGAGTTGTTTTTTTTCTAAACTAAAACCGTAGTATTCAGGTTTAATTGCAGTGTTGCCACTTTGCAATAAGTAAGTGGATTTTGAGTTGCAGTTTGGCACTCTAATCTCTAAAAGGTTCACCATCACTGTTCTAGAAAACAGTTTGCCAGGCTGAGAAGTTTAAATGTTATCCTTGAAATATAAGAAAGTAGACACGTCATTCTCTTTTTTCAGGTGAGGAAACAAGTTCAGGTTCTTTGCAGAGTAAGGGGCAGGACTGATTCCCTCCCTGTGCTCCCCAGCAGCACCGGTGCTTGTTAGCCATATTAGGATTAACAACAAGTTTTAGAGATGGTGTGATATTGGAGGTCCCAGAAGTGAAGTGGGCAGAGGGACACAGGACTTGCTTCCTGGCAATTGAGTCTTCTCTCGTCTGTCCTGTGCTTTAGATCCAGCACTTCCTCCGACTAGCTCAGCGGGGGACAGAAGAAAAGAAGAGAGAGGAAGCTCTGGTCACCCTACGTCAAGGCTTGCAGCACCTTGAGACACAGCAAACCTTCATCCGGTCAGTGTGGGTGGTGTGAGTGGTTGGCCAGGGCTCTGAGGGAATAGGTAAAGGGACTGTATCACAGGCTTATCAGGACTCTGGTGTTCACTCATGTAGGCTGGAGGGCAGCATGCAGACCCTGGTTGGGCTTCTGACCTGCAACCGGGCCCTGTTGCAGCTTGAAGCGGCTCGGTGCCTTCATGAACTCTCTCATTCGGAGCAATCTATGGTGGCTGAAGCCTGTCTGCCAGCTACTTCCTACCTCCTCACCTACCTCTCCGGTCACAGTTCAAACTTCATTGTAAGCCCTGTCCCTACCACCTTGTTCTGGGCTTAGAGTTTAAAATAGTGTTTGGTCTAGTTTGAGCTGGCAGATAGGCAGAAGAAAAAAAGAGAAAAGCATTTCCGATGCCCACAGCAGTGGATACACCCTTCATCACCTTCTTGTGAGCTTTAGGTCTGTCATGAGGTGAACCCAGCCCAGTGCTATTGTTGCCTGCTCTCAGGAGCTGTGTCTGTATACGCTGGGGAACCTGATTGTGGAGAGTGAGGCTGTGAGGAAGCAGCTCCTGCCACAGGGCATTGTTCCAGCCTTGGCCTCCTGCATCCAGGTGGGTGCCTCCATTCCCTCTCCCTGGGCAAACTTCCTTTGCTCCTTCCTGCATGCCCCACTGGCTTTGAGTAGGTAGCTCCCACCTCTGGGCCAACAGGCTAAAAGTCTCAAGGGAACTTACGACCTGGCTTCCAAAGTCAGATCACTATCTTGTCTACTTTTAGTCCCCGCACATGGCTGTGTTGGAAGCTGTTGGATATGCCTTGTCCCAGCTTCTTCAGGCTAAGGAAGCTCCAGAAGAGATCATTCCGTAAGTAAAATTATGTCTCTAGATATTCAGCCAGCGTTGACCCTCTTGGTGGTACAGTGTGATCAGATCTGATTTCCAAAGCTATTGCACATTTTAACTCCATTTGTATCTGGTTAGGGGGAGCTTTGGATTTAGACATTTTCTCCCAGTATCTTTGTGGTTCCTACTCACAGCCCTGTTTCTGTTGACAGCTGTATCCTGAATTCCACTCTGCCACAGCACATGCTGCAGCTGATGCAACCGGGCCCAAAGCTGAACCCTGGGATCGCTGTGGAGTTTGCATGGTGCCTTCACTACATCATCTGCAGGTAACACAGGCCACTTGAGAAAATGCTGGCGATCTTTGATTGCATGTCACCTTAGGTCTTTGAATGCCAGTTTCTGGAATTGCTATAGTGTTTTTATTCCTCTATGGTCCTCTTTTTTTTGCACAGAGAATGCCCAGACAGGCTGTTTCCCAGCCTAAAGGTAGGATTGACTGGCATTGACTGCTCGCTCTCTGTTGCTCAGCCAGGTCAACAATGCCCTGCTTATCACCCATGGAGCTCTATCTACTCTGGCGCTGCTGCTGTTGGACTTGGCTGAGGTTGTCCAGAGAACAGAGGATGCAGGACTGGAGCTGGTAGGTGCAAAGGACAGGTCAGGGTCTGGGAGATGTTTCTTCAGACTCTGCCCTTCTTCTGGTGTTGAGTAACCCTTTCTTCTTCACATCTGACCCTCAGCTTGTCTTTGCAGCTTGCATGCCCTGTGATTCGGTGTCTAAGCAACCTGCTAACAGAGGTGGCAGTAGAGGATGTAGAAGGGCAAATGCAGCTCGGAGATGAACGTGTTGTGGCAGCCTTATTTATCCTACTTGAGTTCTTCCTTCAGAAACAGCCTAGCCTGCTTCCTGAGGGCCTCTGGCTCCTCAACAATCTCACTGGTATGTACCACAGTCTGTTCAGACCTGGACCTTTTATTTTAACATCATCAGAATATTAAAACCAAAGCAGGAGGGAATGAAGCTATTAAAAAACTAAAATGCAGAACGAAAGATGGGTGGGAAGGACTTTTCAGTATCTCAGGAGAGGCCCATGCAGTCTGAATTCGGGTAAGTGCTTCACCCAACTCTCCTGAACCCTCTCAGTGAAGGCCTTCCTACTCACGTCTTCTACCTCACGTCCTTCTAGTGGGGAAACCTGAAGTGACTCCCTGGAGAGGCAGTCTCTCCAAATAAGTAAATTGCTCAGGCCTGAGTTCCTTTAGTGTGAGGCAAAAGAACAGCTCAGGGTGTAAGAAGAGACAGTATCAGCCCCCACCACCTTACCCTTTGCTTGTTTCCCAGGCATGCCAAAGAAGCCTTGTTAAATAACACTCCATTAAAATGAAATAGTTTAATAAACATTTTGATCAGAAAATCCTTTAAGGATAAAAATGCTCTTAGTATTCTATAAACCTAGTCTCCTTGCCTGACCTAGTCAGTGTGCAGGATTTGGGGGTAAGATGGCCACCCTGAACTTCATGGGGTTCCTGGAGGAAGGGGAACGAAAGTGTAGTTAGCGACGCCCCCTTGTGCCCATGGATTCATGCACATGTGATGCACCAAGGCATGTTGGTAGAACACATTGTTCAGCTGAATTTCCCTGTATGTGCACATGCATGCTCACACAGCAGTCACTCCAGGTACATGTGTGATATATTGGGTCAATGTACATACCTGCCACAAACACAGAATCCTTCCCTTCCTGGCTTGTTCAGCCTCCTGGTGGTAGCTGGACAACCCCCTCCCCCCCCTCCCCGCCCTGCCCCCAGGCTAGAAGCTCTTGGAGACTGGAGTGTAAATGAAACTTTTTCAGTGGGGCTGGAGAATGTCCAGGGACTTGCTGGACAGGGTGGGTATCTCAGGAGACTCTGGCCCCCTTTAAGCCTTGTCAGAAATCCAGGGAGGTCCAGTCCCCAGCCACAGTGAAAGAGGTCTCTGACACCCTTTCTTCCTGGAGACAAGTGGTAGTAAAAGGCTTCATGATGGGGGTGTAGGGAAGTGGGGGTGTGTGTGAGGAGTATGTGCTTTAGGAGTTAGCCATCAGCAGAGACAGGCATTCTTTGTCCACAGAGCCCTGCAGACCAAGCATCTGGACAACAGTGGTGGTTTCTCCAGACTGAGCAGGGCTTAGACCTTTAGATATAAGGAATCAGCCTAGGCTGAGTTGGGTGGCATTGAGGGGAACAGTCAGGCCCTAGTACAAAGTACTCCATATTGACATTTTCCCTTCCAGCAAACAGTCCTACTTTGTGTACTTCTTTGCTCTCTCTGGACCTGATTGAACCCCTCTTGCAGCTGTCGTCACTGTCGAACATGGTGAGCGTACTGGTATGTATTGGTGTCACGAGTCCAAGACCTGCTTGTTAGAGTAAACAAGAAGTCCTCAGTTCTCAAAAGTACCCTTTGTTGAAGGCCGACACATGGTATGTTACAGCTTGAGAGCCATACCAGTCTAGGTGTCATTTCCTAAACTGGATTACTACTTTTCTCATGCAAATCAACCAGCCAGCCTCTCCACATGTAACTGGGGTAAGTACCTGAGTGAGTTGCAGGGATTAAAGAATGTGCTTACCAGAGCTTGGCATAGTGTGGGCGTGTGCACAGTACTGTGTATCATCTTCGGTTTTCCTCTTTTGAGGGATTGTATATCTGTCTCTGCAGGTACTCACAGTTCTGTGCAATGTTGCAGAGAAGGGTCCAGCTTACTGCCGGCGACTGTGGCCAGGGCCCTTGCTCCCCTGCTTGCTAAACACAGTGACCCTCTCAGACACTGAGGTAGTAGGCCAGAGTTTGGAGCTGCTGCAGCTGCTATTCCTCTATCAGCCAGAGGTGGGTTTCTGACCCTGGTCTCTCATCTCCTCTGCTCAGAAGTCTCTACTGTCACTGTAGTCTCCTTCTGTTCCAGTTCCATCTATGGATGTTTTTCCAGGGTGGGCTAGCAGAGTGGGCTGTAAGTTGGAACCTTTATCATCTTGTTGGGAATGAACCCTCTTCCAAGAGCTCACCAAGAAGTAGGCTAAACCATGAGGCTAGGAGAATTGAGTCTTAGAGCACAGGGACCCAGCTGTTGGTTAAATCCTTTTCTTCCCTGTCCCCAGGCTGCCCAGGACTTCCTGCAGCAATCTGGGCTGCAGGCCTTGGAAAGGCATCGGGAAGAAGTCCAGCTTCAGGATCGAGTGCGTGCTCTCCAGCAGACAGCTCTTCATGGCTGACCTGACTTCTCAATGTCATGTACTCCACCCTCTCACCAGTCACATTTTTGCTCATTGTCTTTCAGGAGGATTAGGACCACTATGAACTCTTTCTCCTCCCCTACCTTACTCTAGCTCCTCCTCTCTTCCCCCCACATTGTTCAAACTAGAGGACCTGGGGGGACCTGATACAGCCTGTTCATTCTGGGGCCTTGGATTCTCTCACCACACTCCGGACCCCTGCTCAACTTTTGATGAGAGTGGCTTTTGATGAGAAAGAATAAAGTTTTTATTTTTATATTAAACTGCTTTGCTTCTGGATGCACAATAAAGAATAGAGGTAAAACAAAAGAACACTGTGAAGTGGCATTTTATAGCACAAGCTTTATAAGGAAGAGAACACATTTTCTCATTGTACTGTCCAGCAGAGCCCACATTCTGGGGTTCTTGGTCATAATCCTCAGTGAAGGCTTCAACCTTTGCCACTTAGCACATTTTCCAGGGCTCTGGTTACCTGATCAGCACTGAAGTTGTTCAAAGAGACATTCTTTTCTTGACCAAATGCTGAGGAGAAAGAAAGATTACTAATTAAGTACTCTGCATCATGGGACTACCAGATTTTTTTGAGACAGGCTCTCACTCTAGTTGTGGTCTTTAATTCACTGTGTAGCCCAGGATGGCCTCCTGAATTCTGGGATTACCGGTGGGTTATCATTACACCTCATTTGGGGCTACCAAATTACAACAAAAAGTCTTACTAGAACGTGAAAGACAGTAAGGAGATTATGATCAAGGTGAATTTAGTATGCCTGGAATTAATCCAGTGCATTTCAAAATACACCAAGGAAGCCTAGGTCCAACAAGAATTTTGAGAAGAAAGGTATTTCAGGGAGGCTTTAAGGGTCACTAGGCATTTATTTATTAATCATGGCAGGCAGTGTATTATATTTATGGGCCTAGGCTGGGTTCCCATTCTTTGGGCTCCCACAGTCCATCTAACATAATACATGGCACAATAGACAAGTTGTCTCTTTTAGTCAACTGGCTTGAAAGGACAGAACCTTTTCTCAATTATGAGTGTATTACATAGTATGGATGTCCAGTTATACCCAACCTGCCTAAGATGTAACTCTCGTGCCCACACATTCTGAGGGCAGGGTGTAATAAAAAACAAAATTCTACTATAACTACATTTACCACACACCTACTATGTGTTAGGAAGTATAAGAAATGTTCATATTGGGATATATCAGAATGTGATAAAGGGTAGTATAAAAGGACTGAGACAATATTACATTACTGGTCAAGGAATGCCTTTTTTTTTTTTTTTGTGGTGGTGGTACTGAGGATTCAACTCAGGGTCTTGTGCATGCTAGGCAAGCATTCTACCACTGAGCTACATCCCCAGCGCAAGGAATGCGTTTTTGAAGCGACATACTCAGACACAAATGACAACAAACTGAGTAATGCTTCAGCCATGGAAGTCTGGAAGTGCGTTCCAAGAAAGGGGGACAAATGTAAAGGCTCAATCCTGTTATACACTAGCTGCATAGGTAGGTTTCATAAGGTTTTGCTTTTTCTAATCTCTACAAGAAAAAATCCACCGCTCATGATTAATCAGGATTAAATGAGAGTTAAGCAACAAATTACTTTGCACAGGGCCTACCACTAAGTGCTCAACACTGAGATTCTCAGTACTTACATGTGCACTCGCTACAGGTAATTTGAAAGGACCTACACTGTCTGAAATTGCATAGCATTTTTTTTTTTTTTTCTTACCTGAAGCCCTTTTTTTTGGTTGTTTTTTTGAGACCGGGTCTCGTTACGTAGCTCAGGCTGGCCTTGAACGTATGGCAATCCACCTGCCTCAGCCACCACACACGGCTCCTGAAGCCAATTCTGACCTGAAAATTTCCTGGTCCCTACGCAGGTCCTAGCCAAAGCCTACACATGTTATCCAACAGACAAAGCATCACGCCCGCGAATGTGAATTTTTCAGCGAAAACAGTATGGCTTAAGTTCGAACTTAGTCTCTCCATATTTTTGTGTGACCTTGGACCACTCTTTCTCCCAGTCCCCGACTGCCCCGCGCTCACCGTAGCGGGCCCACAGTTTGGGCTGAACATCGGAACATTCGCGGATTAGAATGGGAAGGTCAGGGTTCGCCTTCTTCAGCTCCACATAGCGTTTCTCGATGAAGTCCCTGCGGGGCCGGAGAGAGCACCGCACATACAGTGGACTCGGGCTTCGCGAAACATCGGAAGGTCGAGGTCTTGACCTCGGCGTCCCAAGCCCCCCGCCTTACCACGCCGCGCCTCACCTGACGCCCTGGCTGCCGGGCGAGCGCTGGCATAAGTGGATGCGAATCTCACGCAGAGTCGCTCTACTGCCCGCCGACGCCGCCATCTCCACTTATCACTCACATTCGGGTCCCAGACTTTCTGCCCAGGTTCTTCAGCCGGACCAATAGCGGACGGGGTGACGCAAGGGGCGGGACAAAGCGTAGCCAATGACACGAAAGCATTTTAGGGCCGCAGTCAGGTCGTATTTCTCGGTGCGCAGGCTGGGACCAGTGCGAGAGGGAGGCAGCGGAGGCTCGGAACGCAAAGCACTGTGGTTGGTTTTCCAGGTGCACTGTGGGAAAGAGCGCCGCCGTTTTCTTGTCAGAGACTGGATACTTGCGGGCGTCGAGAGGCTGAGACAAAATGCCGGAGCGAGATAGTAAGACTCGGTTGATTTGTTCTTTTTTCTCTGCGGGTCTAGGGACATTTAGCCCGTTATTTTGACAACTAACCTTAACCAGTGTTGCGTAACGGTCGCACCCCGGAGAGAGGCCAGACTGCTGTGGACGCTCCCCAAGTCTCTTCCCGGGTCCATAGGGCTGCGCCGCCTTTATCACCAGCCCAGCCGCTTCCTCTTAACTAGCGCGGCGCTCCTGTTCATTTACTATCTTTGATTGTTGTTTTTGAGACGGGGGTCTTCCTGTGTTGCCCAGGCTGGCCTTGAACTCGCCCTTCTCCGGTCCACTCTCCAGTAGCTGAGATTACAGGCGTGCGCCACTGCGCCAGGTCTTTCCTACAGCATTTTTAGATGTGGTCATCCTTAGTCTGCTGACCCTCCGGCTCAGTTTCAGGAAGCCCTTCTGTGCTGTCGTAGCTCCTTGGTTTTTCCCATTTCAGCACTTACTGCGTTGTGTTTTTTGTTTCGTTTTGTTTTTGTTTTTTGAGACGGGGTTTTGCTATGCAGTTCAGGCTGGCCTCGAACTCACAGCTATCCTCCTGCCTCAGCCTCCCGAATGCTGGATTTATAGGGTACCAGATGCAGTAGTATAACCTTGTATTGTCACAATGGCTCTTTTTGGCTTTCTTTTATACTGTTCACTGCTGTAATCCTCAGTTTTTCCAAAGGACCAGACACAAAGATTAATAACATGAACGGTGATTTTGTTTTCTTAGGCGAGCCGTTCTCCAATCCTTTGGCCCCAGATGGCCACGATGTGGATGATCCTCACTCCTTCCATCAGTGAGTATTTGTTTTAGGATTATGGAATTGAGATGAGCAATGAATAGGAGTGGTGGTGGTGAAAGAATTCTGTGGTGAAAGAATTGTGAATATCTTGTTAACAAGTATGGTCAAGAGATTGTACTACTTGATCTATTATTTCTGTGAACCTTAAGTGGTTTAGGCCCCCTACATACAAGTATTAGAGGAGAAATTTTGACAAGGAAAGTGCTTGTTCTTTTAATCTGTTAACAGCATATTATATGGGAGTTATTTCTTCTGAGGTAGCTCACTGGTACAGCGCCTGCCTAGCAAGCGCAAGGCCCTGAGTTGGATTCCTGGTACAAAAAAAACAAAAACAAAAACAAAAATTAAAACACGGGAAGAAAGGGTAAAATCTTTTATAACCTCCCAATTCTAGTTCTTTTCTTACAGGTAAACAGAGTTCATTTTTATTTTTTATTTATTTGTTTTTTTTTTGGTCTTTTTGAGACAGGGACTCGCTATGCAGTTCAGGCTGGCCTTGAACTCACTATGTAGCCCAGGCTGATGAACTTGCAACGATCCTCCTGCCTCAGCCTCCAGGGTGCTGGCATTATAGGCATGTGCCACCATGCCCGGCTTTAGGGTCTTACTATTTTTTTATTATTTTCAGGGCTACAATTGAATTTTTTGCAGGTTTTATATACATGCCAGTAATTGGCTGAACTAAATATAGATTAAAGGAATTACTGATTCATATAGTATATACACTTAAATTTTGATAAATACTGCCAGATTGCCTTCCAAATTTGTTATACTGATTTACTTTGTATTTCTCTGGTTTCTAATTAACCATGCTTTATACATGTTCCTGTTTCATCTCCTGTGGGGTACTAATTTTTAAAATGTTTGCTTTTTCTTATAGATCCAAACTTACCAATGAAGATTTCAGGAAACTTCTCATGACCCCAAGGGCTGCACCTACTTCTGCACCACCTTCTAAGTCACGTCATCATGAGTAAGTCTTCAGGTGACCCAGTCTCTCTTCTACGTCCTTTGCTTCTGTATATCTCTTTGTACTGAACCAGGATGTCATAGGTGTTGAAAGTTTAGTACTTTTTTCAATCCTGTGTTTTTTTATTTTCTCCGTAAAGATTGACGCTCCAGTGAGATAATCCAGGTTCTCATTGTTTCCTAGGGTGTGTTCCACTTGTATTAGAATTGCTGCTGGTGCTAATGAACAGAGTTCTGGGCCTGTTACATGCCCACAGACTCAGACTATCTGGGATGGATACTTGAGGCTATTTAATTTTAATAGTCCCTTTGATGTATATTAATGCTTTTTAAAGTTTGAGAACTAATCACTGACAAATGTTGATGTTTCTCCCTGCCTGATTGAAACTGTTGATTTGGTCAGTGTTCTAGGCCTTTATTTTTTTTAATCCTTATGGCCACTTCTGGGGGTTTTCCAGGTTGTGGTAATGTTTTAATGTCAGTGATTTTCTTGTCCCTTGTAGGATGCCGAGAGAGTACAATGAGGATGAAGACCCAGCTGCACGAAGGAGGAAGAAGAAAAGGTGGAGAAAGAGTGAAGGGGTGTTGGGTTTTAAGACAGATAGTATTATGGGGAGGAAGTAGAGGCTGATATTTTCATTGTTATGTTGAGGTCCTCTGCTTCCTTCATGAAGAAGATGATACTTAAGTGTGGCAGTGTGTAGCTTTTGAGTCAGACAATGCATTTTACTATCATCTTCACGAGTTTTTAGCTGGATAACCTTGAGTATTTTGTTTAACTTCTAACCCATGGATAAAATATAGATAACAGACTGGGCATGGTGGTACACACGTGTAATCCCAGCACTCTGGGAAGCAAAAAGACTGGGAATATAGCTCAGTGTGAAGGCTTAGGATTCAATCTCCAGTACCACCAAAAAAAAAAAAAAAAAAGAAAAAGAAAAGAAAAGGATATAGGTAACAACAGTAACTTAACAGGCTCTTACCAGTATGTGTACATGCTTACAACCAGTGCCTGGCATATTGTACCACCTATTGAACCCTGGGTGACATCATCATTATTACCATTTTTATGTAATATTGAACTTTCTGGAGAAAAAGATTTTCTGAAACTTCTGCTTTGATTTTCTTGTTTTCTGAGGTTAGAATAGCAAGGAATGAGTCTTTTTTAGTTGAAATTTCAAAAGTAATAAAAGTTCAGAGATGCCTTGGTGTGGTGATGTGTGGCAGTAATTCCAGCACTTAGGAAACTGAAGCAAGATGAACATGCGTTCAAGGCTGGCATGGATAACAGTGAGACCCTGTATCTAAAAATATAGAGAAAGAATTTTTTTGATTGTATATGGAAAAGTCCCTCAAAGCTATAGAGAATCAGTAGAGTTAGGTGGCATTAAAGAGTTCTCTAGTGACAGAGTGTGTCCCAAGGTGCCACTGGAACAGTCTCTGTGAGTTGGAAGAAATTAGTTTTGATATGAGGACTGCTAAGAAGTAGCCAGCAGTTCTATTAGGACATACATAGTTTTCACTGTAGAGAAATGGATGAAGATACAGAGAAATAGGCAGAAATAATTCTTTTGACCATTAGATAGCAGCTGATGGGTCTTACATATTTGCTTTGTCTGGTGACAGTTATTATGCCAAACTACGCCAACAAGAAATGGAGAGAGAGAGAAAACTAGCAGAGAAATACCGGGACCGTGCCAAGGAACGCAGAGATGGTGTGAACAAAGATTATGAGGAAACTGAGCTTATTAGCACCACGGCTAACTACAGGGCTGTGGGCCCCACTGCTGAAGCGTGAGTACTGAGGAAGTCGGGGCATGGTTCCCTCAGCATGTTGGAATCATGCATTCACAGTACTAGGTCTTCCTCCTACATGTTCTGCTTTGGAATTCACATGTGCTATTTCAAGAGGTACTTGCTACTTATAAAGAACTCTTATGAGGCTGGGGATTTAGCTCAGCGGCACAGCCCCTGCCTGGCAAACACAAGGTCATGAATTCAATTCCTGGTACTGGAAAAAAACCCAAAAAATAAATAAAGAACTTGTATGACTTTTATCATTATACAGGGACAAATCAGCTGCAGAGAAGAGAAGACAGTTGATCCAAGAGTCCAAGTTCTTGGGTGGTGACATGAAACACACCCATCTGGTGAAAGGCTTGGATTTTGCTCTGCTTCAGAAGGTGAGACCTGGTGAACTGTTATTTCTGGTGGGAGTAATTAAATAGAGTGCTGAATGCTTTTGTCTGGACCTTGGTGAGGTGAGGAAGGAGATCCTCCTAATACTGACCATCTATCTGGAAGAAGAGCTAAGTGGTCCTTCTGCAAGACTTACTATTGTTCCTCCTTCAATATCAACCTAGTTATATCTACTTGGGAAAGCCTTCTGGGGTCATCCAGGGTTAAGTCCTTTACTCCTTGCCTCTTTTCTGTACCTTTGCATAGCCTTTATATTTCACTTACAACAATTATTACACTTCGTTGAAATTGTTTGTCTGTCTCTCCTGCTACAAAGTTTGTTATAGTAAGAACAGTATGTCATACTGTGTGTTTTTCCTGGCATGATAGGGTATAGGGGATGGTCAGTAAATGCACATAAAGTGTGAATGTCTAAGCCCTACTTTCTTTCCTGTTAGGTACGAGCTGAGATTGCTAGCAAAGAGAAGGAGGAAGAGGAACTGATGGAGAAGCCCCAGAAGGAAACCAAGTCAGTAAAAACAGTAATACCTTCATTTGTAAATGCATTTGTTTGCAAACAGCTTGGTTTTGCTTTGCAAACGGTTTGGCAGGCCGGGCATGGTAGCGCACGCCTGTAATCCCAGCACTCAGGAGGCTGAGGCAGGAAGATTGTTGCGAGTTGAGACCAGCCTGGGCTACAAAGTGAGCTCAAGGCCAGCCTGAACTGCATAGCGAGACCCTGTCTCAAAAAAAAAAAAAAAAAAAAAAAAAAAAAGCATCTGGCA